TTTTTAACGCCGTTAAAGTTAATTAATATACGTATAAATATGAAATATTCTGACCGTCTCTGCTCATAATCGTTTTTCGTATACAATGATTTATCGTTGAATTAAAATTTATCAATCACCGTATATATTATAATGAACTGTTTGACACCTATTTTACAGCACACCGGTTGCTCACTATTTTATTTTTCATTGATGATTAATACCATAGATGAATTTAACTAATCCAATCTAATCCAATTATTTATTTTATTTGTTTTATTCAGCCAAATCAATTACAGATACATAAATTACATAAATATAAATAAATATAAATTAAATAAATATAAATTACATAAATATTAGCTGATACGTACACTGTTGCGACCCAGATGTTATTTTCAAATGAATTGTACAATAATGTTGGTAAAGGAAGTGGATATTTATTTAACTTAAGAGAAATCACAATAACATAGATAAAGTATATAAAATATATGGAGTGTAGATTCCTTGTGCACACCTACATGCGTCAGAAGGCTCAGAGCAATTAACTTGTAAGTCGTAACGGTCAGGCAATGCATATACGGACAGAGTCCTTGGAATCTCCAATGGTGATATGTGGGTGACTTGTACTGTGGAATCTAACTGGTGTCTCGTCTCTCGCCCTTTTGTATTTATGTTGGTCATGTGACGGCTAGGACACTGCTGTTTGGTATGAAATCGTTCCGGACGTCACGTACTTAATTTCTAAGGACATTTCCTTGAAAAAACGTGACAATTTCTCTTAACAATTTTTATGTGGGCACGTCTGACAACACGATATTTACGTGCCTTACAACAACAACAACAACACCAACTGAGTCATAAGCTAGTATCTTTTATACGAATATAGATAATTGCTGGATATGAAATTATTATAAACTGATAAAAATAAATTATGTGAATAGATAGTAAGTAGTACAAATTATTAAGCTTAAGCCCAAAAAACTCACGATCTTGAAGACTTTATTAAAGCTGGAAGCTTAAAGCGACATCAAAAGTTTAAGTAACCACTTAATATTAGGTTTTACGACGAATGTAGAGGGGTACAAATTTTTTTAAATAAGGTACAAATGGATAAAAATCGGGTACTAAAAAATGAAATTGTTTAGGAGGAGATTTGATGAATTACGGGTGCCAGGACAACGCACCTATGTTGACCGTAATATGGACGAAATAATTGACAATTTGGAACCCTGCGTCCTCACCATAACAGGCGAGACTTCAGGTTCTTCTGATTTTTAACTGTATATAAATGTATAATTGCCTTATGTAAAGATAATTTAAATTTATTATGCGATTTATATTATATTTAAATTTTTATAATTATTTTGACAATCATTTTAAAATTGATGAGATTTATATTTGTATAGTTTAATTTTAATTGTCTTCTGAAAAAACGTAAATAAAAATAGTATTAATTTATGAATGACTGACGTATATGTAATTTTTTTTTGTATAATATTAACATTACCCTATTGTATTGTATTGTTAATAAACAAATGTATATTAATTTTATCTATATTTCATATCATGGACCAAGTATATAATACAATTTCGATGTGTAAGTAAACCGCTTAATAACAGCGACAGAGAGATATAAAAAAAAAATACGCACAATGCATTTTAAATTATTTGAATACATCGGCAGTCGGTAATAGACTAATTAGTGCTCCCATCCGCGACGGCGCATCAGGCGCTACCACGGAACAAATGCCACGCCCATGCGCACAACTTTGCCGCCGAGTCATCATGTCTATGCCAGTCAAATTAGGTTTGAATTCAGAATTAATTAGTGGAAAGCTGAAAATCGTTTTAATTGTTTAAGTATAAGTCTAGTATTAGGGGAATATGTTTCCCCTTCTCGAAGGTCGGCGTTGGTCGCCATCTTGACAGTCGAAAATACAGCTCCAAAATCAGTTTTTTTTTAGTTTTTCGATAATTATTCAAAAAAAATAGTCTAATATTGAAGTTCATAATTGACGTTGAAATTATACGTTTTTTTATGTTTTTTCAAAAAAATGATTTTTTTTTTTAGGTTTTTTGACTTATTTTGAAATCCGTCAATTTTACGACAAAAAGTCTTACTATACAATTTGTAGAGATTGTAATTTTACATCTAACAGTGTTTTATTCAGTAATTATGTGAAAGTATCAAGGTCAATAAAATATTTAGATTTTTGACTCTCAAATCACCGGTTACAAATGTAGGCGTTTCAAATACGTTTGTAAAAAATTCGTATGTATTTTATTGTGAAAAACACCAACAAATATTTATAATTTTATACATTATAGTAAATATAACTATAATAATTACAATCAAGGTTATTAAGTTATTAGTTAAATGAGTATAGTTACTAAGAAAATAATATTTTGCAATTAAATAACATTATGTCATATTTTATGTATTAACCTTTTATATTAAACATTTATTTTTTAAATGAATACAAATTTATTGAATTGTGTTAATAGTAACTACTAATGCAAGTTTTGATTGTGTGTGCTCGCGCGCGCGCGTGTGTGTATGTGTGTATTGGGAGAGGGGTTTCATTTACAATAAACGTGCTGTGAAGCCGTCAGGAATGCAGCTAGCAATATCCATTGTATTATATTCGACCATCTGGTCACCTTCTATTGGCGACCGATCCTATAATACCTTATGACCATCATTTTACTGAATTATAGCCCATAGTTGCTTATACATAGTTTTTCTTTATCCGTAAGTTATTACACATAGTGTGTAGTGTATACACAAATGCCATCCAATTTCAGTTTTACGTATACGTCCAAGCCGTTACGTTCGTCTTCACTCGCGTTCCTCCGTATTTGTTGTTTGTGTGTTTGTTGTCCTTGTTCTTATTCTACTGTGATCGTATTTTATTTTCGCTAGTGTTATTAACAAGTTGACTGCCACGAAGACCATATTTGGTACTCACGTCTCCTGTGCCACACATTTTAAACACGTTTTGTTCTACAGGCTTTGAGTACCAATTCTGGTACTCACACCATTTGACTCTCAGGGTTTGAGGGTCAATTTGGGTACTCACTATTTTTGGTGATTACGTCACTGAGAAACGTTTCTGATGCTCAATTCGTTTAATGGAGTAGAAAGAGGAGAAAATTTCAAACTGAATACAGCAAACAGCGCTCAAATTTAATGTTTTTTAAAATAAAAATGTAACTACCAAAAAAAAATATTATACAACTCGTATTAATATTATACAGTATACACTTTAAGCTTTTTTAGTTAAAATATTAATGAATCAAACATAAATATATTTAAAAAAAATTTATACAACTCGTAATATTATTATTATTATATATTTAATTATAAATTATATTTTTTTTGTTGAATGCAATTTGAAAAAACATTCCAAACAGAGATGTTTAGAACAGCCTGGACACTTCGTTGACACTTTGCGTGTAACTTTTTGTGCGTGTTCCCTTCCCCCTTGTTGTACCATTTCGAAATAACAATTTGAACATCTACCACGTTTAGAATTAACAATTTTATGAATTTCTCCTCCAGTTGATTTGGGTATCATTGGTATATTGGCTTTCATTAGTAAAACTTGAATTATATTTTCTCTAAATTCTACCACACCCATTTTATTACCAGTCACAGTATTAAACAATGTCAATGCATTTAATAAACTTGTATTTAGTAGAATTTCGAATGCTACTTTTCGATACCATTTTAAAGATCGACGAAGTGGTGAATGGTAAGAACTTCTCAAATCAGAAATATCGACAAAACCTTTTGCCTTATTATAATCCATTATCATTTTTGGTTTGAATAATTTTTGACCACGTTTGTTAGTTGTTTCTATTAAATTGTCTTTGTGTTTTGTTGACAACATAAGTACATCGCGTTTGTCCTTCCACTTCATTATTACAATATTATTTTCATTTTGGCATTTAATCAAAATTAAATTTCATTACAGAATTGAGAATATTAATTTAAAATTGCACTATTGATTATTTATATAATGTATATAATATATATTGATTATATTATACTCGTAATCAATGAGTATACAATAAATAAAATGACTTATTTAAATACACAAAACCAAATCACTATACTTACTATATTTAGTTTTAACTATTATACAGTAGCCGCCGCTTATTGGACTCACGGTTAATTGACTCATTCGTCTATTAGACTCAAAACGGCTGGTCCCGATTTGCACATATACTAACACACAGCAAAAAATTCGTCTATTCGACTCACACACCGGTTATTAGGGTCATTTTAAAATCAGATAAACAAGGAAAATATGTACATCATTGAAAAAACGTGTTATAAATAAGTCGGTACCGGTACATATTTTGCTTTTATCGCGGAGATAAAATAAATTACTTTTCACGATAAACCACGGGGTGGCCATACGTATACGTAAGTGAAGCATTTAGAAGGAGAACGTTTAGAGTGTCCAATTGAAAAGCATTAAATTATTGTACCAAATTATTGTATCCCTTACTCAACCTAATCACTGATAAGACACGGTTATCATATTTTAAATTTTTTTTTTAATGTTATTATTGTTATCGTTGTATATTGGCGCCAAATTCAAAGTCTCAAGTTTCGAAATTGGAATTCTCGTCTGCTAAATGTTTAATACGTAAAGTAAACATGCTGTTTACTGTATGTAACATACTGTATGTCTTTACAATAAGTAAAGTTTTTCATTATTACTTTTACTTTGTGCTTAATAGTCTACAACTCTAAGACAATGCCAAGTTGTTTTTTGTGTAAACGTTCTTGGTCTGCGAAAAAAACAGACGTTAGCTTTCATCGGTAAGTAACACTTATAAACATTTTTTTTTGGTACACGTTAAACATTTTAATAGTTTAATTTTTGTAATGTATATTAGACTACCAGCAGATGAACCACGTAAAAATCAGTGGATCCAATTTTTTCAAGATTGTGGTGCTGACACCACCAAAATTAAGCCTTCTACCTCCATATGCTCTGAACATTTCATTTCAGACTGTTTCAAAAATTATGTTAGAAGCAAACTTTTAAAAGAAGATGCCGTACCTTCTATCATGGTAAAACGTTTAAAATATGTAAGTGAACTCAATAATACTATTTATCTAAATTTTGCTCTACAAAATCACATTCATGCCTACCAATTATAGTTTAAAATTAATATGAATATTTATTTATTAACTTTTCACTGTTTAGGCTAAAATTACTGTTCCTGAGGTGAAAGTGTCTGTATCCAATACATCAACATCTACTTGTGTAAGTATAAAATATCATTTACTTAAACATATTTATAATACATAAATGGTGTTGTTATTATGATTATATATGTAGCAAGAAGGGATTGAATTGGAAGGTTTTGGAAAACTTCCTGATCTACCTT